GGAGACTCCGCAGGGGAGCGGCCCCCCTGTGGGCAGGCTCTGTGCTCCCCGCTCCCTCGGCCGACTGGGCTGTTAGGGCCACATGGTGACCCTCCCCCGACACCGGTGACGCCGGAAGGACAGAACCACAGCTTCCGGCTGCTTCCAGCTCAAAATAACGACAGGAGGCAGCACCCGGCCCGGGGCCAATCCGCAACCCTCAGGACAAGGGCGCGTGCGTTGCCTCGTCACACGTTTGGGGGCCCTGACCCGTCTTCTCCTGGGACCCGCCGGTCCCCACCGGCCCGTCTGTCCCTGGCCACCGGCCTGTTTCCCATCTTTGAAAACTTTGCCCACGGGAGAGCTACCTTCTGCTCCATAGCTGACAAATATTTTCCTTGACTTTTCTTTCACGCATGGTGACCTTATTAGACCCTTGGTCACCACCCTCCCGCCTCAGGGTTTTGGGGGAACAGGGAGGAAAGCTTCCCGTCCCCCAGGTCGGTGAAGGCCCGCCCATGTTTGTACACAGATGGCCAGTCGGTTTTCACTCGCGTCTCTGACCGACTGCGGCTCACCCTGCTGCACACGCACCCAGCTGCCCACTGGGGCGCACAGACCCCACGGCAGCGCGCTCCCCCCCCCCGCTCCCCCCGGCCCTCAGCCTCATGGGGAGCAGAGCCCCTCCCATTCCTGCGGGATCGGCACCAGGCGCCCAGCTGTGGGGCACCCTCCTGTTTTCTCAGGTTTCCTGGGGTTCTTCCCCGTTCGTAACACAAATGAGCGTTAAGTGGTCTGGTTCCAGGAAAAGCCTGATTTTTATTGGGGTCACATTATAAATTAACTCAGAGACGGACACAGAGCGAGGGCACTGCAATCCCACACTGCTGGCCGGGTCAGGCCTCGCCCAGGCGCGTCAGGACCCTGAAGGCCGTGCTGTCTGCATGACGCTCGCGACTGCCCACAGCCCAGCGCACTGGACACCGAGGCCAAGGGGCCACTGGGCTCCCTGCGGGGACGGACGCATTTACGTCACGCACGCAGTCAGACCACAGTGAACTGTGTGGGGCACGTGCTTCGAAAGGCACCGGTGGCTGATGGACGGGCAGACACAGGATAGACCAGGCGCAGCCAACGCTGATGGCAGGTCGAGGTGGTGGGCATATGGGTATTTGCTGTAAAATTCTTTCAACTTTGGTGTATTTGAGATTTTTATGGGGGGGGGGGGGGGAGCAGACTGGCTGCATACTCCCCTCCCAAGCAGGGGGCTGGAGACGCCGTCAGGGGCAGGACCTGGAGCGAAACCTGAGGTGGGTCTGACATCGAGGGGACAGTGGCAGGTGGGCCTGGGCTGCCGTGTGCACCTCAAACAGGAATGTGCCAGCTCCTTCAAGTGACATACGAGCTGGGGTGGTGGCCGTCGGACACAGCCAGGCCGATGCACTTCCTGGCAGGTGACCGCAGTCCGTGTGAGGCGTGCGATTGGTAACCCTACCCCGCGTGTAGACGAATATCCGGGACCCCACCCGGCTACGGAGTCAAAGGCCATGACACAGGCGGCGTGGTGTGTCTGGGAATGGCGAGCATGGCATCTTAAACTGTAGGAGTCACGGAGCCAGATGAGCAGTTTCTCTTTCTTCTCACGGTAACAACACAGGGGAGCCGCACTGCCCGCCGAGAGAAGTCCACCCTGGTCGGCCGACCTTCCTCGCAGTTCGGACTCACTGCCTTCCCTCCTCCTGGGCTGCCAGCCACCCGCAGCTCACCACCCTGAGCCTCAGACAAAGCCCACATCCACCCTCCACTTGGCAAGGATTCTTTTCACCGCACGCGCCTACTGCCTGCCTGCGATCAGGGCCTAATCTGATTATCCCACAGATCAATGCTCGGCCGGGAAACTACCGTGTGGGCCCGGGAAACTGTCATGTGTGGATCCCGGGAAACTGTCACGTGTGAGTCCCGGGAAACTGTCACGTGTGGGTTCCGGGGAAACTGTCACGTGTGGATCCCGGGAAACTGTCACGTGTGGATCCCGGGAAACTGTCACGTGTGGGTCCCAGGAAACTGTCACGTGTGGGTCCCGGGGAAACTGTCACGTGTGAGTCCCGGGAAACTGTCAGGTGTGGATCCCGGGAAACTGTCAGGTGTGAGTCCCGGGAAACTGTCACATGTGGGAACTGCTCCCAGTAGAAAACAGTCCTTGAATTTCTACCCGAACGACAGGTCCAGTCTCCGACCCTCTCACTGGACTCAGGACACCCGGTGCACATGAGGAACAGCGCTGCCTCACAAGGAGGCACGGGATCGACCTAGACTGAGCTCAGGACAGCCCTAGAGGGCAGGTGGTCCCACCGCTTTCCGTCGCCCAGGCCTGTCTGGGTCGATGGAGACCTGTCCCAGCCCAGGGCCACCGCTCCAGACTCCGGTCCCATCATCGGGATGTCCTGGGCTTGCTTCAAAATCACCTGCCGCCCTAGCCCAGCGGGAAAGGGGACCAGAGATGGGGCACCCGCAGCCGACACCCCTTCCCTCCAGGGTGCGGAGATGGGTCTGCTGCGTCCTCGGGCGCCTGCGTGCATGTCCCTGGCTCCTGGTCCACGTCTCCTTCCGATGAGGACGCAGGTCCTGTGGGATGGGCGCCACCTGCCGACCTCACTGAACCTTCATCACCTCGTTAAAGGCCGTCTGTCTCCAGCCCTAACCGGTTTGGCTCAGTGGATGGAGCGTCGGCCTGCGGACTGAAAGGTCCCAGGTTCGATTCCGGTCAAGGGCATGTACCTGGGTTGCGGGCACATCCCCAGTGGGAGATGTGCAGGAGGCAGCTGATCGATGTTTCTCTCCCATCGATGTTTCTAACTCTCTATCTCTCTCCCTTCCTCTCTGTGAAAAATCAATAAAATATATTTAAAAAAAAAAAAAAAAGCCGTCTCCAAACACAGACCCAGGCTGAGCTGCGGGGGCCAGGCTTCAACCCCGGAACTCGGGGGGCCACGTCCAGCTCAGCCTGGGAGCAGGGCTGGCGGAGGACACCGGTGAACCAAGCGGGCACGTGCTGACGACGGTGAGGCGGCCTGGGGGGCATCACACGTTCTCTCTCAGGGTGGGCTCGCTGACTTCATAACAGAGGCTCCTTCCTCGCCCTTATCAAAGCCGTTTCCCACGGCCCCGCCTGCCCTGAGCTCGGCTGCGGGTCTGCGGCCCTGAACTCGCGGTCCCCGGCACGTGCAGCGAGGGCGCAGTCAGTGCCAGACAAGCTCACCGTCCCAGCGGCTCTGGGTCATGGAGGCCCCACGCGTCTGACACACAAGCACTGGCCTTTCTGACGCTGCGTGTGAGCAGCTCACTTTCCAGACAAAATGCCCGGCCCTCAGCCCTCTGCCCCGGCACCAGTGCGTCAGCGCCCCGAGATCAGGGCAGGGGGGCTTCGTGCGGAGTGGCCGACCCAGACGCAGCCCAGAGCGACCAGGCACCAGCTCCCCACACGTCCATTCACATGCACATGTTCACACACGTGCTCACCTGTGGAGGAGTCGCCAGCTCACACCATCCAACTGCCTGGGAGCTGGAGTCACTGAAGTTTATTTTTTTTGGTTAACCCCTGGAGTGCCGGGAGCGATTGCGCTCCTCGCAGTGTCAC